TAGTAGTTTATGAGGACTGCTGCCATGCCAAGGAGGACAGCAAAGAATAGAGTGTAGAACTTAAACAAGGCTTTCTGAGAAAGCAGCAGCACCACAGTGGAGATGAGGACACCTGGAACACACCGGAGAAGCAGTCAGAGAGACAGGAAAGGCAAATATTTCTCACTGCAAACTGAACAAATGTCAGCTAACTGTAACTTCCAAGTTTGTCTGATTATAGTGAGTATTTAGATCAATCTTTGTGAGAAAACAACAGATGCTGCACATGGAGCAAAATAATCAGCATAGAGTTGAGTAATCCTGATAAGTAAAAGGCTGAACAAGCAACATACATAATATAACAAAAATAGAAAAACAAATAAGAACAAAAACAAACAAACACCTTTCACAGTCCATGTAATGCTACGTGTGCATTTGATAACACCATGATAAACTGATCGTACATACTGTAGAGGACCTCAACCAACCTGAGCCTTACTGCTTTAATATAAAGTTGTTCAAACATCTGGCTCTATGGAGTCTCTGTTCCTGTACTAAACATAAAGAAACACGGGTACAGAAGCAAACCCAACAGCTAGTCTCACTTCCTGTCCATCCAAACCCAGAGCTCTTGGCTAACAGATGGCCCGAGCTGCTCAAAGGTCTGCAAACTGGAAAACTGAGGTACAAAACTTGTTTGTTGACTCAACACAGAGAAGCTTTACTCTGTCACAGTAGCTTTTATGAATTACGGGGTGTAGAGGAAACTCAAAGTTAGTCAGGCTACAGACTTATTCTATCAATAAATAAAAAGTGAAACAGATTTTTGTTAGTAGCAGCTCTGGTTATTACACAACACTAGTCCAGAATGTAATTCCCCTGTCCGAAAATATGACAAGTGCCAAGACATACAAATGATGTGCATAAAGTGGGACACCAGGTCAACACGTTGATATAAAGTCACAGGTACAGAGTTCAGACCAGAGAGCAGCTCTCTGGGTACAGTTAGAGGAGAAGAAGCGAGCTTTGTCAGGAAGAAGGACCTGGATATGATCCATGTGTGTCCAAGGTGCCTCTGAGGCCATCCGTGACACCACAAATCACACTTGTGACAACACACCTTGACGTTAGCTAGCTAGTTAGCTTGCGAGCTGATGGCGCCAAAGCAGAGTAAATTAGGGTCGAGGTGAAGCAGTTAAGCAGCGTGTCAGACGGACCTGCCCTGTGTAAATGTAATTGCTGGTCGCTTAATCGGCTTTAGCCTGTCTGACAGGTGACACAGCTCCACACAGCCGACTAATGTCACGGCTAATGCGGCTAGCTCGTTGTTGTTGAGGGAAACTTAAGCGCTCTTTCATGTTAAAAATACTTACCCATGACTCTGACCAACACCTTCCCCATCGCCCCGGCCCAGCCCGAACCAGGGTCGTAGTAAGAGTTAAAAATGGCGTCGATAATAAAAATACATGGAACTCGCAGAACCACATCCAGCACCACCAAGGCCTGCTGGCCTATCCGGGCTTGAGTGGACGCCATACGGCTTTAGCGGAGGGCTTTTACAGTCCTGTAGGGACCCAGCTATCCATGTAACGCTGAAATACGTGACGAGTCACCCGGCAGCCGTCCTTCGTCTTCAGTTTCGCTTTGCCCAACGTTTACTTGGCAGCTGGAAGCCTGCATCTGTCCGCCATGTTCGTCCACATCAACCTCCTGTTGCTTCTCCGGGTTACAGCCGGCAGCCGGTAAACTTCACGCCCCCCATCAGACCCGGCGCTGTCCGCTGTCACAAAACCAGCGAAGGCATCTCTAAATGTCAGTTTGTCAGTGCTGTGAAAGTGCCACTTGACTTCTTTTTTTTTTAAAAGACCAAAGAAGTTGCTAGGCTGTTACGACGTATCGCGTCAGTGGCGTCAGTGGGCGTGACAGCTGACGTAACATTTCTACAAACTATAAAATCACACAGCGTCATTTTTTTCTGTGTCCTGTTTGCTACACGTTTTAATGTGGACGTTATTTTGCTTTCAGAGGATGGTTTGCTAGTACAGACATCCATAAATAAAATATAGCATAGACTTAATATAATAATAAGACCATTATATTAAATATATTTCAGTTTAATGTATTTAGATTTCAGATTAGTTTTATACCTTAAGATATTTGTTGTGCCATATCGTATTTGATTTAAACAAACACATTTCAAAGACTTTGGGATTTCCAAATATCTCGAGGAT